AAGAGGAGAAGAGAACTGGATACACACACTGAACTTCAGATGTGGGGGTCTGCTTTGTGCATGGTATGCACTCTTGGTCCTGCAGGCCTCCGATGCGTGTCTTTCGGTAGAACCTGTGGTCAGAGCAATTAGAAATGACAGAGTGATCAAACAAGCAACGCACTTGGACCAGTTCTTCCTGGGATCATAGGCAGCCTCTAAGAGTCTTGCCCTACAGAAGTTAGCGCCTACCCCTCCTTGTGAGCTCGCTGTCTCTGTGTCTGATAATGATTCAGAGGCCCAGGCACTCTACTTCCTCTATTCACCATACCCTATAGCAGGGGTCCCCAACCTATGGTGAGTTGTATTATTTCATTATATATTACAGTGTAATAATAATAGACATAAAGTACACAATAAATGTAATATACTTGAATCATCCGTAAACCACCCCCACCCCTGTCTGTGGAAAAACTGTCTTCCCTGTAGCCAAAAGGGAAACTAATGCCACAAAATAGGAGAGCACTGCTTTGCTACCAATTGCTTCATAATTTATTTTAGGTCTACAGTAAGATTTACCTTGAATCTTGGGCCTGGACTAAGAATGCCAGCATGATGAAAAAGCTGTTAAGTACTCATCTGTGGCTGACAATGTGCTAGGCACTTTATAGAGAGATCTTGGGAAGATATTGTTTCTCCCTTCTGAGTGCTTAAAAAGAATATGATGTAGACAGTTAGAATACTTCAAGTAGGTTGTGAGAGGTGAGGATGATAGAGATTTCCAAAGGCTAGAAAAGGCCTAGAAGACCTTGGCTGATACAACAGGCTCACCTGGGCAGACAGTCCCCACAGACAGCATTAGAGGTAGCTGTGCAGTTGGCCTTCTGAACACGATTGATGACAGCACAGGTGATGCAAGTCTGACATCTGTGGTGGCCCCAGCTGCTTTTGTACCTGCGAGGGGGGCAGGCTGTGCAGTGTGCATCTCCACCCTCTCCATAACCACAATCCTGCAGAGAGATGGGAATCATTAACATTACCGTATAGGAGCTTGGAGAGGGGATCAGCCATGGGACAAGTAGACATGGTATAGAACAGTATTTTTCAAACTACAAGTTGCAACCCCATTATCAGGTCATAAAATCAATTTACTTAGTTGTAGCCAGCATTGAAAATTGAAATAGAACAACGATATCAAATATTAAAGTGCATAGCATGTAGTAAAGCTAAGTATTTATATCAGTCAGCATAGGCTAGGTTATACTATGGCAAAAAGCAAACCTCAAATCTCAGTGTCTTAAAAAAATAAAAGTCTATTTGTCACTCATACTATTTGCCTACCAGGGATTTTCTGATGATTGTGCTCTATATTATCTTCAATGGGGTACCCAGGGTGACAGAGGCCTCATCTTTGTGCTGCCATGATTGGAGCTTTAGGGAAAAGAGAATATTGTAAACCGTGTACTGGCTCTTAAAGATTTCCCCTAGAAATGACCCATGTCATTTTGCTCACATGTCTTTGGCCACACATACCACCTGATCATTAGTAACTATAAAGGGTACACGAAAGTGCAATTCTACAGTGTGCCAGAAGGTGGGGAGCTGGAAATATTTGACCAATAGTTATAATCACTGCCCATGTCAATATTGCTTTATAAACCTTTTATAGATAAAATATATGTAACTGTGTGTTGGGTTGTGATGAAAAATCTACTTCTTATTCTAAGCCATGGTCAAAAATGTCTGATTGCTAATGGTATAGAGGAAAGGTGAGTGATTCAGCTGGCTCTTGTCTCGGCTCTGGTATTGACTCAGTGTGACTCTGGTCGGTATCATTCCCCTACGTTCTGGGCCTCAGAGGTCCTAACACCTGAGGAGATTGAAATAGATGGTCTCTACAGATTCTTCCAGCTCTGACAACCTAACCTCCATAGGAACAAGGCACCTTCCTGATACCAGTCATAGCTCTTTCTCAGAGACACAACTCTAGTTGTCAAGGGATATTAGCTATTTGCTAGCTGTGGCAGAAGTTGGCTGCTGGTTCACAAAAACTATTCTCAGTTTCTCCTGGGAACACCACCACCAGCCAACATTTCATAAAGTTCAACATTTCACTGCAGTTAAGTGGGGCCACATGCCTGATTTCTAGCCAGTGGACTATGTATAAAAATGATATATATGCCACTCACAGTCCTGGCCCCAAACCACCTCCTGTGTGCTACTTAATATTCTTTATATTTTCATTTTCTGGTGCATGTTGACACCCAGGGAAACCTTGGAATCAATATATTAAAAATGACAGAGGAAGCCAGTGAAATGGAGGCAACTTCAAGCTCTTATTTTCCCACAGAAACAGAAAAACAAGCAGAAACTTGGACCCAATGTTGTCAGAACTCTGGTAAACAGTGAAAGGTTTATATCAACCTAGCAAATGCTGAATCAAGAAAAAGTCCACTTGAAAATAATAGGAAAGTTTTGTGGCATTTTTATTTGTCCTTGTCACATACCTCACCTATAATCAGTGGCAGTCCTAAAGTGGTAGAAGTCTTAAAGTAGCATCAGCCTGTGTTCCCAGTGTGAGACTCTCATCCCTGGTTCCAAAGTGAGCAAGAAAAACTTATTCAGAAATTATTGTGTATGTCTGTTCTAATCTGTATGGGGGCTACCTGAAGGACTGATACAAGGTGCTCATCTCTGTTTCACTCAATTCAGAATGTAGACTGAAAATGCAGTGGGCATTGTTTCAAAATGCTGCAAGGCAACTAACAAATCAAAGATGCATAGAGCAAAAAGACATATGACAGGTTGCCTGAATCTGGGAGCAAAAGCTGTGGGAAATTCTTTGAGAAATAAGGACATTTGAAAGCATCCATGTATATGGAGGAATTTCGAAGGGCACGTGTTTGCCCAGGACCAGACACATGTTCAGAATATACCAGTGCAGACCCAAGGCTTACATGTTGGGCTGATCCCTAAGCTAAGTGCAAGTCTGGCTAAGTGCCCCAGCAAAGAGCCAATTTACAAAGAAAGAGAGATGTGTGACTTTCTTGTTGTTGTTGTTATGGTTCATTTTTTAAAACTTCCGGCATTCAAGGAGATCTCTGTCAAAACATTAGCTGAACACAAGCTAAATTAACACAGATTTCAATGACCACACATGACAAGGGATAGCGTTTCTTTGCAAAAATAGTTTGGAAAAACACCTTAACAGATGGACTACTACAGCCTTCAACAATACAAAATTTAAAAGGATAAAAAAACAGGTAAATGTGGGGAAAGAGGAGAATCTGACTTCCAGAGTTACTATATTACAATACAAAAATGCCCAGTTTTCAACAACAACAACAAAAAAAATCACAAAGCATGAAAAGAAACAGGAAAGTGTGGCCTATTCAAAGGAACAAAAACAGAAATTGTTCTTGAGAAAACATGGACATTGGACTTACTATACAAAGACTAAAAGAATGTCTTAAATATGCTCAAAGAAAAACATGGACAAGAATGAAAAGAAATCAGGAAATAAATGTATGAACAAAATGAGAATATCAATAACAAAAAATTATTTGAAAAGAACCAAACAGAAGTACTGAAGCTGAAAAGTAAAGTGACTGAAATGAAAAAATTCACTAGAGGATTTGAGCAGGTAGAGGAAAGAATAAGCAAAGTTGAAGGCAGAACAATTGAAATTATCATGTCTGAAGAAAACAAAGTAGACAGAACCTAAGGAACCTGTAGGAAACCACCAATTTGACCAATATATACTATATAGAAGTCCCAGCAGGAAAAGAGAGAGATAAAGGGGGATAAAGAATATTTGAGGAAATAATGGCTGAAAACTTCCCAAATTTGGTTAAACACATAAATTTATACTTCCAAGATGCTCAAGCATATCTCTAAGTAGAATAAACTTGAAGAGGCCCACACCGAAACATATTATAAACAAAATGTTGATAGCCAAAGATAATAAGAAAATATTGAAAGCAGCAACACTGAAATGACTTGTCAAGTACAAGGCATCCTCAATAAGATTAAAAGTTGATTTTTCTCTAGCTTTCTTTTGATTAATGTTTTTTTTTAAAGCAAATTTTTATTCAGAAACTGCAGAGACTGGAAGTCAATGGGTAGATATATTTAAGTGTAAAAAGAAATAAACTGTTAACCAAGAATTCCATATACAGCAAAAAAAAAACCCTCAGAAATGACAGAAAAATTAAAACATTTTTAGATAAACAAAAGCTGAAGGAGACTGATGCCACTAAACCTGCACTACAAGAAGGGAGTCCTTCAAGTTGAAATGAAAGGACACTGAACAGTAACTCAAAGCCATACAAAGAAATAAATATCTCCAGTAAAGATAAATATATAGAAAAATATTGTTTGATTCCACTTATATGAAATGTCTAGAATAGGCAAATTCATAGACACAGAAAGTAGAATAGAGGGTACCAGGGGCATTGGGGAGAGGGGAATGGGGATTTATTTCTTAATGGGTACAGAGTTTCTGTTTGGGGTGATGAAAATGTCTTGGAAATATAGTGATGATGGTTGCCCAACATTGTGAATGTGATTAATGCCATTGAATTATACATTTTAAATGGTTAAAATAGCAAATTTGATATTATATATTTTGCCACAATTTTTAAAAAATTAATAATGCAAATTTTAGTGAGCATCAGCCAGCTTCTAAACATTCCTGCTATCCTGTCCCTTTGTTTGCTGACTCAGGCCTTTAACTCCCATCTCTACCACTGACCAGTCATATAACCCTGAGCAAGTCACTAGGCTTAAATACTTTTGTCAATCAAATTGGAAATAAGGCTACCTAACTCACACAAACACACTCACAGGCTTCTGCTTATATTACAAAAGCAAACAAAAGAAGGATAAGTCATAAAACTAAAATGAAACCAAAAAAAGCAAAAAAAAAAAAAATAATAATGGGAGGAGGAGAATTATCTGCAAGGGAAAGCAAGGAATATGTTGGATGGGACAAGGATATAAGTGAGACTTTTTTGACCATGCCCTTTATTTTATAGATTTGACTTTGGAAGATTTTAAATACTTTACATGAGTATAAAGATTAGATTGAAAATAAAGCAATCCCTAAAATTTATAATTAAATGAAACACATTAGCCTAAAATGAATGAGTGTACATATATATATGTCTGTCTGTGTCTATAGTGCTTGTCACCATGCCTAGCACATAGTAAGTCCTCAATGAACAAATGAACCTTAGGTTTTATTCTTATGGAAAACGACCTTTTATAATTCCTAGAGCACTGGAATCAGAAGACCTGAGCCTGACTCTTCTACTCACTTTCTAGAAAAGGGAGTGATGGGAGCTAGCTAGCATGTATTGAGAATCAATCAATAAGTTGATTGAATAATTGATTGGTTAACACTCCCCTTTACTTTATTAATTCAGAAAACATTTATTAAGCAACTGCTATGTGCCAGGATGCTATTCTGAATGTTGCAATTTAATGATTGAATCAGACAAAAATCCATGTTCTCATGGATTTTTATATTTATTTATTCTCCATAAAACCTTGTCAAGGGTACATTATTATCCTGTTTCACAAATAAGCAAACTTGAGGCACAAATGATTGTGTTTACAAGTGGCCAACCTGGGAAGCCTCTTTGCCATGGGCCTGAGATTCTTCATGTACAACCAGAGACACCAGGCTACAGGAGACACTGTAAGAGTGATCTCACCACAATTACCCAGCCCAAGACATTTCTTTTTCCTGCGGGTCTGAGACTCTTCTCCCTGACGTAGAGACAAGTGGCTGGGGTAAACTGACAAGTGGTATCCTACCATAACATTTTGTCTGCTGTGGGAAATGCCCTTCTTCCCCACAACTCAGACTTCTTTACCACAACCTAGGTGCCCCAGGTGACCTGACCCAAGAAAACTTCCACAGCTCAGGCAGCACCAGATAAACTACACATACCAAAAATCACACCACAAAGGCCCTGAAAATTAAATTATCTTTAGAATTGCAGCC